TCTCTCTCTCTAATATGTTTTCTTTTTATTCACTCTCTCACGTTTTTCTTTTCTTGCTGTAGGACATACTATTCAATGCCCACATAGTATCTCTCTTACATGTGCATAAGCTTGAGAAAGTTTTCATTATTTTAGTTTCTTATTGCCAAGAAAGCACGTGACTCATCAAGGCTAGTAATTGACTCACCATACCTATTAAGCATGTCTTAGCACTATATGTTTACATCTAAAAGTTACGTAGCCACCTCATACTTAATTCCTTTAATATGTACCCCAAGTTTTCCTTCCGTAATACATTTCACTTTCTTTTTTTTTTTACAAACTCATATTCACCTCACGTAGGACTCTTTTAAGACTTTTGGTCAGCCACACTTAGGCAAAGAAGACAAAAGTAGCTTCTAATGTCTCCGTGGGACTCTTTCAAAGACATTAATGAATATTATAATATTATTTCTAATAATATCTAATATTACTTTCTAAATTAAATTAAAGAAATTAATTTAATTTCCATAATTTAATTTTACTAGTTCTACTTAAGTTTAACCCTTAATTTGAGTGGTTCTATGTTCCCCACATTTTTCTTGTCGAGACCTAACTTTCCGTTTTTCAAAACGAATTTCTTTCCGGTACCGATAATTTCACACCCGGTACAAGTTCTATACTGCTTTTCTGAACTGCCGAGCACCCCGAGTCAAATTTCTCATATTCAACCCATTTCTCTTGGGTATCTCATTAGTCAATTCCCTTTTCTGAAATTATCATCTTAATTGATTCAGAATTGCCCAAAACGCGTACCCTTGCGGTACTCTTTTTTTTTGGCAATTTCCCGCTTTAACTGACTCGGGAAAATTCCGTTTCAGGAACTTTTGCTATTTTCCTTACTTCTAATTTTTCTACTCTTTTTCTAGCTGATCATTTGGTCACAAACCAAACATTTTAGTTTTTCATAACTAAAATATACCCGCTAAAATTTCTAACTTTTAACTGATATTTCACTATTCATAACTTATATTTACAAATTTTCTATGTAAAACATTCATGTTATAATTTTACATATTTCGGGAAATTTTACCCCATACATAAAGTTTTTACATAACATTTTCTTGATTACATTAAAATTCTACTACTTACTATTCCGGAAAGAATTTCAGTCAAATACTGGACTGTCCGGATTAGACCTAAATTTTTTCCGGTCATTACAAATCAATATTAGAGTTATCATTTTATAACAATCAAGATATCATTTTATAACAATCTAAAACAGATATCAAATAAAAAGGGAAACTCTAACCGTAATAGGAACTGTTGTTCAATCATTAGGCTAATTTTTTTACCGTTCTAATATGTGAGTATCTACACTAAGAACTTACAATATGTAATACAGTATTGCTCTTACTCACAGTTCAAAACAGCAGTTCCTATATTGGCAGGTAAAATGACTGTTTCTATCACAAAAACGCCCTAAAGAATCAACTTTTATGGAATTTTCTTCTAGCTACAAATACATAAATATAATTGTTTTGATATTTTCAACACCCCAATAGGAAATCAATTGTTCTAATTACGACGACTTCAATACTTTAATTTGCTTGGTCAATATTGTGGCATCTGTTATTATCCTAGTGAACTAATTAAAACATGAAGCTTATACTATAAGATAAGAAAAAATATATTACTAAAAAAATTCTTTACGAACCTTTCATTATTACTTGGCATGGGCATTTCAACTTGACATTGTTGATTAAACTTGGCCAGTAATACATATTTATAATAATTTTGCAAAGCCACTAGAAAGCGGCTAAAATAGTCAAAGAAGTCACAGAAGAAAACTAATTAACGTGTACGCAAGTTAATTTAGCGGCAGCAACAGCAACAACAAGAACAATAATATAATAATATGATACGCAATCGGAATATTTATAGTAGAAGAAAATGCACTTAATAATCGCTATCAGCATGCCTCTATAAATTTTGAAGCTCTTTGAGCATTAATTGCTTCCAAAAGTACTGTTTATCCTGCCCTCTAATATTGCTTGATTGTTAATTACAAAATATATATATAAATGTATATACATATATGTATTCATTGACTGGTGTTTCAGTACGTACTTGGCATACATGGAACTCACATTCTGTCATTCTTCCCTAAGGTTACCAGCCATTAGCCCTTCATGTTGCAAAGCCTCCTCTCATAACAGTAGGTTGATAACAATAAAGCCCGTAACCGAAAATATCAAACCCTTCGGTTCACTGTCAAAGTACTGCGGTGACAAAGTGATTCGTCCAGTAGGAATCCATGGCGAAAGCAGATTCTCAAGATTCTTAATATATGGCCAACATAAACGCAATTCCATACAGGTATATGCTTTTCTTTGTAGCTAGTAATTAAGAGGATTAATGCAAATTTTATGAATCGTTATTCTCATGTAATATCTATCACTAATTATAGAAAAAGTGTTTTCCTGTTTAACTTATAATGTGAAACAAATTATACAAGACATGCGCTCAAAATGAATCTGATGGTTCCGATCCGATACTTCTCAAAGCTCAAGATGAAGCGAATTCAATACTTGCAAGAGTTTCGCGCTTTGGATCTGCTTGCTTTAAGTTTGTAAGGCCCTTTGTGATGTTGCAAGTGCTGATAACTGCCAGGTAATTAAGAAAAATTTTTCAGGAAATTAGAGAAAGAGAAAAAAAAATTAATGATGCGAAAAACAAGAAACTAACTTCTCATTTTTAAACCCAGCAGGGCATGGATGTTTACATAGTTCTTCTTTTGCATGCTCTTTTTTTTTTTTTTTTTTTCCGTCGACAGTTCTTTGTTTGCGAGAGTTTTGGTTGAGAATCCACAGTTGTTTAAATGGTCTCTGTTGTTTAAGGCAATCCCTGGCCTAATTGCTGTGCTTCTTTGTCAAGCGTACAGTAGCTGCATCAATCAAATTTACGATGTAGATATTGACAGGTTTGCTTTCTATATAACATTAATTTTTTTATATATGATTTTTTAAATTAACTTATGAGAAGGTTACTTATTTTAACGCGGTATTAAACTTATAAAATTGTTCCCCGCGTCTGGCTCAGCTAAATACCCATGTTCCGTGTACCTAGAAACTACTGGTTAAAAGTTTTGTTTTATCTTCTAGCAAAAGGCTATAACCATAAAAGTCACGGCATTTGGTTTATTAGTTTTAATTCTTATCCGAACCTTCATTAAGATTGGAGTCAAATTAAGCAACTATTTTGTAAAATTTAATCCATGCAAAACCTTTTCATTTTTTTTAACGGGAAAGAAAGCCTAATATCTTCATTTTGTTTATTTTGTAATTTTGCTGATTTGTAGGCAAAAAAGCCCTTTTAACTATCTGTTTTATATTGTATTTTTAGGATAAACAAGCAATATTTACCTGTAACATCCGGAGATCTGTCAATGAAACAAGCGTGGTTTTTGGTGATATTTGAAGTGCTTGTTGGCATATTGATTTTGCGATTGATGAACGCCGACCGAATCACAACTTCTATGTATTATTTAGGTCTCCTATTGGCAACGCTTTATTCTACTCCTCCTTTTAGATTCAAAGAATCTCCCGTTGCAACATCTATCGTGATTCCTTTGGTATTATTTTCTTCTAATCCTCTAAATCTCTAATGTACTTGTGTTTTAATTTATACATATAGTTGGGTTCTTGGAAATATATTAGTTATCTTATAAAAAGTTAAAAGTGGCATTAACAACTCGTAGATACTAGACTAGATAATATAAAAGTTTATTAATTACGTTTATTTTATTTTATTTTTTGAAAAGAACTACGTTAAATTTCGCTTATAGATGAATGCAAGACAACTAATAAGTGAAGCACAAGTGGAGTACTTTATTCTAGAGGCATGAGAAATAGTTTAGTGCGGTAATTTAAATGTACATAGGATTTTAAATTTTCTCCTAATTTCCACATGAAAGGAAGCGGAGAACTGTGGAATTAATAATTTGGCATATATCTATTTAGAGTATAAAAAAAATTCAAACATATATATGTATCTATATGTGTGTGTGTGTATATATATATATATATATATATATATATCACATAATATGCAACTTATGCAGACGGGCGGTGTCATTCAAAATCTGGGTGTATTTTACGCTACCCGAGCTTCGCTTGGACTTCCATTTTGTTGGAGGTACGTGCAACAACTATTCGAGAACAAAATTTCCTTTGCCTTTTCCTGTCTTTGCTCTCTATCTTTCAAATTTAATTTTTCAAATATGTCTTAAATAATTAAGAATTTTAGAGCATTCTCAGATTGAATTTAAGAAACAGACAATATTACCATTATTATTAAGTTATTCTTGTTGGTATGACGTGTTGCCTTCACCAAAAATTAATTTAGGTACCTTAAGTAAAGATTTCTGAGAGACAATCAATTAAAAAAAAAAAAAAGAACACACAAATTCAATCATATAGGCCTAATTATTTGTTAGCTTGACTTTCTATTTGGAATATACTTTCAATCCAACGTTTAATGTTAGTGTAGTGTTTTTATTTTTATTTTTTTACTTTTATAATTATTTCCTATAAATTATTGTAGTAGTTGGCCATGACGTATAGTTTTTTGTTTCTTGTTCTATTTTCCTGCGGATGTGGGTGCTTAAAACTATTAATAACAATATAAGTCATTTGATAATTTATTTTACTCCACAATCATTAAATGTCGCTTAATATGGTCATCGAGATGTCTCTTAAAAATAATGATGATCTCTCTGTCTTCCAAGTTTTGTATTTTGTTTTGTTTTTATTTTGAGTCTATAATAACGAAATGGTCTTTCCACATTTTGAGTTTTTTTAGGCCGTGTTAAGCTTTATTAAATTCTATTGATGGATCCGGTCTCACTTAATAATCTTTCCTCGTCTAACACGAGATCAACCATATTGATCTTTACATGTTTCGTTTAGTTAAATACATTGCCCCTTTCAAAAAAAAGTTATGTATAAAATAAACTAAAATAATTATAACACTATCCAAATTTATAAATTACTATTATAAGCTATAACTAGAACTTCTCATATTTGAGCTCATGCAAACATATGATTTAACTTTTATTTTTACCTGTTAAGAATGTCATTATTTTTGAAGGATATCTATAAGCCAAAAGGAATGATTCTTGAACTCCCGTGTTTCTTGTATTTTTTTTAATATCTTTATTAATGAATCGAGTAGCATTTGGTATGCGATTAGTTTAGTTAGAAGGTCATTACAATTTAATTAATTGGAATGCATTAATTTTTTCATGCTTGAAAAAAAAAATACCTTTTTTTATAGAATCCTCATTGTTGGCTTTCAATTTGCTCTTCAGCCCCTCAATTGTTTTCATCACCACCTTTGCTACATTGTACTGCACGGTCTTCAGTATTATGAAAGATATCACAGATATGGAAGGTGATATGAAGTAAGTTTTACATTAATAATTTTCACGTTTATCATATCCATTGAGTTTAAAATCTAAAATTAAAATTACAGGCACAACATACGAACATTTCCTGTGATATTCGGACCCAGAAAAATTGCAATGTTTAGCATTGGGATATTATTGGTAAATTATATTGGTGCCACAGCAGCTGCTATTTACATGCCTCAGGTAATTAAGTTTAATATTAAAAGCATACCCAATTATACTTTTTATCTTTATTAATTTTCTAAAGGTAAGTTACTTATTGAGTATATACTAATTTACTCTCAATAAATAGATGGAATGGTAGATTTTTCAAATAAATATTTAAATGAATGTATAAAAAAAATTGGAACAATTAATCCAAACAAATATTTAAATAAATGTATAAAAACTAGGAACAATTATTTAATCTTAATAAATAAATATAATGGTAGATTTATCCAGCTGCTATTAACATAAAACAAATATTTCAAACTCCTAGAAGTACTTTTTTCCGTTTTTTGTATTTTCCCTCGACGGGTCCTTACAAGTATGCGGAGAAAAAGAAGAGACAATGATTTTTTTTTTTCTTCTTACAGGCTTTCAAGAGCTATGTAGTGTTGCCCGCTCACATAATCTTGGCCATATGGCTAGTTTTTCAGGTTTGTCATATTTAAATTCAAACAAATAAAAGATTAAAGTGAAAGTAAAAACTTCTACAACTTCTTTTCTTTCATACTTTCAGGCATGGAAGTTGGACAATGCAAATTATGCAAAGGTAAAAATATGCAGCTTCTACTTAAGTACATGTTTTCCTATGCTTAAAATTGAATTATTGATAGTGATTAGGTATTTGACTTATTATATATGCAGGAAGCAAGTGCAAAATTTTATCTATTGCTTTGGAGTCTTCTTATGTTGGAGTATCTTTTATTCCCTTTCATGTAGAAAACTAGGGGGAGGATAAAAGAGAGTTGTGTGGTATTGTTAAGATATTGTTGCTTACTTTGATTTCCAATGAACTAAGATACTCTAAACGAGTATTATAAATACAAATCTCATGAGTACAAAGAGATTGATATAATCATGGATCGTTAAAAAAGTGTGATTCACTAAACAAGAAACCATATATTCTACAAAATAATAAGAAAGATTGTTTTTTCTTTTGTTTATAAATTTTTTCAGTGGTATACATGCAACTCTGTACGGGAAATAAAATTGATCTTCTTAAGAAATACATTTTACACTTTTTTAAAATGCACTATTTTTAATGAAGGCTCTTTTTATTGATGCGATATCAGATCTATTGTAAATACTATCATTTGTTCATAAAAATGCCAATGCTTTTATATTTCGTTAATTGTTGTGTAATTGTAGAGACAATGTCACATATAAATAATAAAGTGATTAGTAGAGTGTCGATTCCACAATGATCGTGCTTAATTCAAAATTAAGTATCGAAATGATTAACTCTATAGATTATTTGAAGGACCGATTAAAAAATAATTTAAATTAGAAACTAAATTGAAAAATCAAAATGAAGGTAGTAAGGATCCGATTCACCAAAAGACAATTCTACAAGAATCTCCTACGTAAATTAATTATGATTATTTCCTCTTGTTGATAGCTAGGTCTCTCTAACGTCATCATTAATCTCTCCCTAGCATTAAACAAATATCCCAACCAGTAAATTTCCTATATTTATGTGAAAATTCTACATCGATGAAGACTTATTAAGAACAAAAGAAACTCAGAATAAACTACACTAGTTTGTAGATATCTATATCCTACAAGTTCTCATAGTATTTTACACAGTGACCAAAACATTATCAACTCTCAGTCTCTAATTTAATCCCGAATCATGCAAATATTGGCCAAATATTCACAAGCATTAAGCAAAGCATGAAGCATTCACAATATGAAAATAAATCACGAATCAATTCAAAATAAGAACAATTCAAGTATTCGTTGCTCCCTTCTTCTTCATACTTTATTTTCATTTTCTATTAAAGCTTGACACCATGTTTCAGCAAATGCCAGGGCAAACGAACTCGTTTTTGGCTATTTTATGATATTCATCTTCATCCACCACCAGTCCCCTAACATCAGATTAAATACTATCATTTGTTCATAAAAATTCTACATCGATGACGAATCATGCAAATTAATTATGATTATTTCCTCTTGTTGATAGCTAGGTCTCTCTAACGTCATCATTAATCTCTCCCTAGCATTAAACAAATATCCCAACCAGTAAATTTCCTATATTTATGTGAAAATTCTACATCGATGACGACTTATTAAGAACAAAAGAAACTCAGAATAAACTACACTAGTTTGTAGATATCTATATCCTACAAGTTCTCATAGTATTTTACACAATGACCAAAACATTATCAACTCTCAGTCTCTAATTTAATCCCGAATCATGCAAATATTGGCCAAATATTCACAAGCATGAAGCATTCACAATATGAAAATAAATCACGAATCAATTCAAAATAAGAACAATTCAAGTATTCGTTGCTCCCTTCTTCTTCATACTTTATTTTCATTTTCTATTAAAGCTTGATACCATGTTTCAGCAAACGCCAGGGTAAACGAACCCGTTTTTGGCAACTTTATGATATTCATCTTCATCCACCACCAGTCCCCTAACATCAGATTGAACGAGAATGTCCTAAGTTCAATTATCCCACGCCAAGAATCCCACTCAGTTAATCTGTAAGAGAAATTTCAAGTTGAACCATTATTTTATTAAATTCTATTATTTATGCCACTAAACAAAAATTTAATGCCGCTACAAAAAAATAACCTGCAGGATACGAAAGATAACCTGCAGAACGCGAAATATAACTTGTAGGTTACGAAAAATAACATGTATATTACGCAAGATAACCTACAGGTTATGAAAAGGTAACCTACAGGTTATTAGTGGCATAAGGTAAATTTAACAATAATGACAGAAATAAAATAGTGTTACTTTATTAATGATGTTTTTAAAAATTTCCCTTTATTTAAAAAGAAAGTTTCGTGAGTGAATTACAACTCAAAGTGCAGCAAGAAAAAACAACCAAGCCGAAACAAGTTAGCAATTAGACAAAATTAAAATTGGAAAGATGCCCAAGTACTCATATATCTATCATCTATACCAAGTTTCTCCTATATAGGAACTGAGTCATATACATGCTGAGAGCGATCAAGAAAAACTTAGGTAGAAAATCATATTCATACTAAGCTAGCATTTCCAAAATCACCTGTCCGCAACAAAGTTTATTCAATTGAATCAGCTCCATGCATGCCGAGTTTAAAGAAACATATCTTGTTCAATTACAGCCTGCATATAAACTTGTCCGACTATATGTCTTTCATCTGTTGGTCTGCCATAGATTGGTGATATAACTCTGCGTTTTCAATTATATTCTTCAAAGCACTTGGTCCCATACACCTCAAAACCTGCAGGGATATATATGTCAAACTTTAAACTACTGATTTGTGTGTGAGAAACAGTATGGATACAGTGTAGACACCCAAGAGTCTCCCTAGACTTAAAAGTAAAGAATTTTCCCTAGCCATTCTCGGTTTTTTGCACATCTTAATCAATATAACCTTGTTTTGGCATCATATAATATAGAAAATCTTGGCCTCCAAAAAGTTTGTGTGATAGTATTTTCACTCTACTTATA